ATCTCATATTAAGAAAACATTATGGACACAATTTAATTCACGACTTAATTAATTATTTTTTACTATGTTTTAATTATCTATTTGTGTTCTTTGCTTTGTTGTGATTCAATATGGGGTTTATATGTGTGAATAAATCATTTGTGTCTTTATTTTTTTCCTAATGCTCCCTGTACTGTTTCTTTGTGTAGTGTTGTATAAAACATAAAACATATAAAAAATAAAAATAGGGAGCCAGTATGAACAAATAGTAATAGTAACAAATCATATTGCTAATTATATTGTTAGGAAAATTCCACATTCGCAAGGAGAGATGGACAGATTTCAAACCAGATTTTGGACATTTATAGATAGATAAAAGGAGGCAATTAAAACTAACTACATGTTTGATAAATTACAATGGACTGATAATACATTATTGACCACCTATTTGTATGTATATTTTTGCATTTTGTTCATTTTGTTTCATTTTTACTTTATATGGTACCCCTGGCATGAGCCAAATAGCTCAATGGAATTCAGCCACCATTCATTTTATTATTTACACCTTTCTTACTGTGGTATCTCAACGTGTCTTCTGTGGAAAGGGCCAGTTTACCAAATAGACATTGTAGCACACACAGTATAGCATATTTACATTTAACATGGAATAAAACATTGAAACACAGCCATGGGGCCCCCTAACAGCCCTGGTTCACTGCATGGTTGGTCATTTCATTTCGCTGTTTCAATTATAGTTTTACTATTTTAATATATATTGTTCTTACAGGCGACAGTGTTCAGGCCTGTACCTACCACTAAAGAAACTAAATGTCCTTGGTATTTCTTCTGGGGATTTGAGGGGTTTAGGAACTTGGGGGGAGACAGTTATACATAATAAAAACTACAAGACTACAATAATAAAAAAAAAACACTTGGTGGATAATTCATGGAGTGTCTTAGACAAATTTTGGGCCAACAAGTAAATCAGTTATCCATTATTCCATAAAAAAAAATCCCAACTTTTAAGACTTTATTTTTTGGTCAAATGTTTCTGTGTGAGAGGTGTTTGTTTGTGAGTTAATGTTGATGAAATACATATTAAATAAAGAATTGAGATTAAGAGAGTAAATATCTTTTCCAGTGTCTTTTAAAAAATAATAACTTTAGTGAGAGGACTTTATTTTGGTCGGTCAAACGTTTGGACTTTTATTGTGAAGGCAGGTATAAACGGCTACCGGAAAAAATACGCGCCTAACTCCATAACAGTGGGGGTGGACTATCACTGAAGTTGGGACACTGCCGTAAACATTTGCTTTAGAATCAAATTAAACAGTAGATAAATAAAGCTGTCCACCTAAACTTGTATCTGAAGTTAAAATACAATCGACCGACGTCGTCCGGACTGCTAACGTTGAGTTAGCTCAGTATCCAAGGCAACAACTCCGTCCACCGCTGGTCACGACGACGATCCAGGTAAATACAATGAATTATCATAGTTTTCACGCTCGGCGCTGAGGTCGTGTAGAGAGACAGTTTGTGTGCCCTTTTAGCGTTATTTCAAACAACCTAACGTTGTACAATAAATTAAACGCTTCTTTTTATTAACTATGTCCGAGTAAAAAGCCGAAAGAGATGCTACTGTTTCCGGTACAAACCTTTCAGAATAAATCTACCCGTACGCGCAACAAGCGCTGGCTCATGACCATGTTTTCTTCCCAAAAAGTGTTCTTTTCACTTTATACACCCAAATCCACATACAACTACAAAAAGAGGGTTCATACAAGAAACCTTGACAACATTTTATTTTGAAGTTTACATCTTTCCGGTTGTGTGAAGCTGATTCAAACAGCACAGCGCAGGGAGGCTCCCGGGTTTATTTGTTTTCCTCTGTCGTCCAGCAGAATGGATGCTGAAGATATCCTACACAGTCCAGACGGAGAGGCCGCCATGCCAGACCAGAACCCCAAATACCAGAGGAGTCTCAGGAGCCTTAACGCGCTTGCCACGAGGTTTATCGAGTTGTTACAAGCAGCAGAAGACGGTGTGCTGGACCTCAAAGAAGTAAGTGAGCGGACACCAGTACACCCACCAGTACACCAACCAGTACACCAGCCAGTACAACCACCAGTACACC